ATAATTTACAATATGGGACAATTATATAATTTTAATTTCGATTAAAATGATATCTGATATTTTTACTTAAATTAAATTAAATTAAATTAAATTAAATTAAATTAAATTAAATAATTAAAATTAAACAATTTTACTCGAGCTTGTATTGGTAAAAGAAAAAATTGGGGTTCGAAATATCCGAAAAAAAAAGGAAGGAACTTATGGGACAATCCTAATATGTTAAGTTTCAAATTTTATTTGAAAAAACATTTGTATATTTTAAATAAATAATCAATATTATTTAATAATTAATTTTTGTTTAAATTGATAACAATAGAAATACGAATACACACACACACATACACATACCTGTTAATTATATAGTATACGTTATTAAATATTTTATAAGTTGATTAATCTGATAGTTATAGTATGTACATGATATATAAAACCGAAGGTTACGATATATAGATATCAAATAGAAAGTTAATGACGAAATGAATTATATTTCGAAGGAATCAGCTTCTTCTCCGATAACGAAGCGATAAATAAGTTCGATGACGAATACGATTCATTGAATTTATATATGAAGAACCGATAACACATGACTTATTATTATTATTATTATTAGTTATGTTCTCTCATTAAAAAAATATTAATATAAATAAGAAATCATTTAATTCGTCAAATGATTATTTTTAAAATTCTCAAATAACTATACTGAACTTTTTTAAAATGTATATATTTTTGAAAAAAAGATAGAATTAGAAAAAAAAAAAAAAAAATATGAAAAAAAGAGACAAAATTTTTCGCATGAACTTGACCGTGTTAACGACCCTGAAAATATGTTGGATAGAACAACACACATGGTCACATTTTTTAACGATGACCTAAATTCCATACAATCAACGTACTTATTGTTTATAATTTGTAAAGAACTCGGTTTCTAAAATAACGGTATTGTTTTATATTCCTAAGACGAAAGACTATGGTGAAAATTTGATCCTTCGGTGAATAAATGAATTATTTGAAAGATATGAAATATAATATTAAGTTACATTTGTGAGAAACAATACAATATTTATTAATAAAACAATTTTTCTAAACATTATTTTATTGACAAAATTTTCAATTAAATATCATGAACGTTAAACAAAAACAAAATGTATTTTAGTTGAAACAATTTTAAATATAATTAAAAAGTATATTATAAAGAGTATTGGATACAATTTAATTAATTAATCGAAATCAAAATATAATATTATACTTTTGAAACAGATTGAGTATAAAAATTCGACTATACGTTGTACTAAAAAAAAAAAATCCACCGTTATACACTGTCTCACTGACCTATATGAAAATTAATTTAAATTCTAGCCTTGATTTTTTTTATTATTTTTTTTTGCTTACATATGACACTTTTCGAAAGCTACGATATATGTATAACGAAAATAATATTCGATATAATATACACACACAAATAAAATTAAAGATATTAC